CTTCCTGCTGTTGCACTTGGCACTTAACACTCGGCACTTGTTGCAGACGGGGTTCATTCAAATGCCCGATATCGGAGCTGTAAATGAGCAAACAATTGCGCTTTGTCAAATGACATAATCCCCCTATAAATATTGTATAAACAACATGGAATCGAGTTCTATCTACTGCAGTTGCTGCTGTTATTTCTGTTTTGTCTATGCGTCATAAGACGGTGAGGAATGTAAGTGAATGCACTGGAAATAAAGAGAACACTTTTACTTAATTCAACTTAAATGGATAAATGGATTACATTGTTTTTATTTGTTATTCGGTGACATGCATCATTGGTTTGTTTTGACATTGAAATTTTAAAATATATTTCCTTCGGATAGATATGACTATTTTTTTTCCCTGTGTGGAGACAGACAAAAGACTGGATAGTGGGGGAAAAACTTGAATAACTGAGCTAGTTGCACCACCGTTACAATGAGCTGTAGGCGTGACAAGTACAACAGCAACATCAATTGCAGCAACAGCAATACCGCCAGCAACAACAGCAATCAGCTGCTGATACAAATTAATTACGACGCAGACACTGAGCAGACGACGGCTGTCACATATACTATACACTATATACTATATATATATGCACATATATCGCGTGGGGAGATCTCGGCTTGACATTGGCATCTCGGCAAGAAGGGAAGCCCGCCAAGTGCCGGCAAACCGGCAGAGCAAGTGCCGTAATCCGAGACATCCGAGCGATACCGCCACCGATCTTGGCATCTTCCCAGCTGCACCATAAAATATATATATTAATGTACATATACATATACATGGAAAAAAAAAACAGGAAGTAATCGCTCTCCTTTGCATGCGAACGATTTACAATAAATAATTATGATAATGCTGCTGCTGGCAATGTCAGAGATGAATCTCGGACAATGACACAGCTAAATCGACAGGAAGGAAGTGTTTGCACTTGTTAATGCCGGCACTTCAGTGCTTGGATCCCCGATACCCGATACTCCGATCTCCCAGAGCAACAAGAGCACCAGCAGCAACACAATCGTCAGCAACATCAGCAACAGCAGCAGCCATGTCATTAACATCATCACCAGAAACACCTTCGAATGATAAAAAAAAAAAACTGGGGAGGGCGGGCAGACCTTTTGGGGGCGTGGCAAAAGCAATATTTGTCAGTCATAAAAGGCAGAACCTCAGTTATCTATTAAATCGGATTTTAAGTACCCACTGTTTGAAATGAACATTAAAATTAATGCAAAGCAAGTGGGTTGAAACTATATAATTGTCAATTAGGCATATTAAGGTTACTATAATTATTAAGTACTAAGGAATCATAAAGAAAGATACAAACAAAATACATACACACGTTTCATATAGCTTAAATTAAAATTAAAAAAAAACATCAAACCATTAAAAAATTAAAAAATCTGTCAATATGTTAGCAAGCTAAAAGCGTAATAAATGTAAATTCGAAGAAATATTGTGTAAATTGGTTAAAATCAAGAAACTTAAACCACAGCATAATGTCATAACAATTTATTCAAACTTTGAGCATAAGACAGTAAACAAAGGACCTAACTTTGTAGCTTAACCAAACCATTCCGAAAGCCTTTCCCCCAAAATCTCTGAAAGTACTTTCGCCCACAAAAAGGATTTCTAAATATTCTTTCGAAGAACACTTTTCCCTTTTTTTTCGGATGATGTCGCAGATGTCGTTCTTTTGAATTTTTGTGTGCGAGAATGTCTGTCTTTATTTGACTTTTTGGCACTCTTGTTCGGCTACAATTTCGTTGTTGGCCAGGGCTTAAATTTCGTCGCAATTGGCGCAAAATGAAAATAAAATGATCGGAGGGACAGCGGTGGGGTTAAGGGACTTGTACAAGCATTTGTGACATTCGAATTTCAAGCTGGTCAGAGTGCAAATAATTCCTGGAATTGCTGGCATTCCTTAAATTTTGTTATGACTCCCTGCTTTCGGTTTTTTACATTCTACACTCCCGGTACCAGTAGTAATTTTAACATCGACAATTCCCCTGCGAACATTTCTATGCCGAAAATATTCACCAGAACTTTTCGTTTTGTGGGTTTTATTTTCCCCTGTGCTTTTTGATGTAGTCTAAATTAATGATAAACAAATAGTTAAAGTTGCACGCCAAAATTTCAGCCATTCATAAAAAGTTTAGCATCAAAGACCAATTTTTCAACAAGTCTTTAATTTTCTTGGAAATATGGTTGCCAAGTTAATTGAAAATAGTTTTTCGATTTTTCACAATTGATTTTTTTCAATTTTATTAACTTGATTTATAAAAGACAGAAACCGTAACCTAAAGTTTTTATTGAATTAAAATGTTATAATTTATTTTTGGAATTTCTTGGCTTAAATCTGTCTATTTTAATAATGCCATGGAAATACTAATACAGAACTTAAAATTAATATGTATCTGACTTGACAATGGCCTTCTTATATAAATAAATCAAAAAAACAACAATGTTCACCTAATAGTTCTCAAAGAGAAAATTACTTCAATTGATTTAAAGTTCAACTACTTTAGTAGAATTGACGAGCTTAGCGGAATTTGTCGGCAGTATCATTATATGATTATTGCCCCTGCGGCGACCTTCCACCCACAATCACCCGCATGTTTTTTCCCCTCGAGCGGAAGCCGCCAAACAAGCGGGATTCATGCGCACATCATCATTATCGTTGGGCCATTATTATGCATTATGTGTGCCCCGATTACCATCTCCGTTTGTCGGATGAGGGCTTCCCGCTGTCCAGGGGGCGAACCAAAATGCTGCGGGGAGTTGAGTTGGTAAGGATAAGCGGACTAAGCGGACTTTACGCAACTTTGCACCCTGAGCCCGCTTACATGGCCCATCACATGATTATGTTCATGAATTGTGTGGGTTTACGCATAAAATGCGACAGCGGCAATTGATTATATCAATTTTGCATGTTTTCGGGGGAAAGTATGTTACAAAATGTCCCCCTGTTAATTATCCATATTTCTACAAATTAAAATCGAAAAGTCTGTTTTTAAAAGTTTCGAAAAGTTACCGTGTTTTCTTTTAACTAAATTGACAGTGTGTTCACTAACAAACTTTTGAGGTAAATACTGTTTGTATTATATTATATTATAAATTATTATTATATTATTTCTCTTTACATTTGTTAAAAACTTTCACAAATTTCAATGTGCTTTGATAATTTTTTATATATTAGTATGTACTTAAAACAAAATGAAATGAATTTATTTGATTTAATTTATTTGTTAAATCGAATGAGAGCAAGATGAAAACGCGGTCAAGTCATAAGTCGAACATACTCAAACACACGAAAAATTCGTGTGGCATAGACTTCAAACAATTTTGCATGCTACCTGTCAATTATTTCTCATTTTCCGCAAATCTAAAAAACTGTTTTAAACAGTTTTTCAAATTTGGGATAGGTTTTTATTAATCAAAATGCCAAGCTTGCTGACTAATAAACTGCGTTAGGTAGATACTTTTTATTTTTATTTTATTTATTTATTTATTCAAAGTCAGTAAACGCAGTTATAACCTTATTTAGATTGCAATCTTCCGAAAAGTGAATAATGTACTTATCGCACTTTTCAAAAGTACCAACCTGACAGAGTTTTATCCAAACTATGTCAGAGGAAATCGGCTCAACTTTATTAGCTCATATATCAGATACTCGAAAAGTGTTATTTTCTCACCCCTGTCCCATGATGTCTGAAGTTTTTCGCCGAGCCAAAGTTTGTGAAATAGCTGGGATAATAAGTTTTGTTGAGCGATGATAAAAACTGACAAACAACTTGATACATAAGATGAGTACTTGGCTGTGATGGAGGTTGACAAGGGAGAAGAGAATTGAGAAGTGGAGAATCGGAGAATCGGAGAATAGGGGAATTGGAAAAGCGACCAGATGCTAATTAAAAGCGGCGACAAATTAAATCAAAGTCAAGTCAAATTGGTTCAGTCAAAGTTGGGCCTTGCACGATTTTCTCACTATCTCAATTTCTGAGTATCTATCTAGCTTTAACTCTTTCCTCTCTATTACTATATATAATATATATATATATATATATCTATATTTCTACCTGTCTCTAAAAGCCAGACATACAGCCGACAACGATTATCGACGAACGCAAAGCCAGCGAAAAAACAAAACTTGAAATTTATCACCGAAAGATTCTTGAACTCGTCACTAAGGTCGTCAACTGTCCCCCTGTCACCGGAACCCCCACCTCCCTCCCCACTGTACCCCACTGTACCCCACTGTATCCCTCTGCTCCCCCCTCCACCTTCGATCAAAACAGGTATCTCAGTGTGTGCTGACTGATTGTTTGACTGATTGATCGCTCGATCATTGATTGATTAACTCCAGATCGAGTTGTTCTTACACAAAGAGAAACGAATAATTTAAACAATATCAGATCACTGTCTCCTAGTTAGTTTATCAACATTATTATTTAAGAAACGCAATTATTTTATTCATGGTTTCACGTAACTTGATTGCATGGTCTTGTTTATTTTACAGTATGCATCAAAAACTTTATAGAAAATGAGGCCTAGTTAGCATAAAATAAATTTGTTTTGGTGCTTAATGAAATTCATGACAAAGTGGGATTCCGCAAAGACTAAAACATATTGAGAAATATCTAAAGTCGTTTCTTGATCTACCAACTTTTACTTTTAAATATTTAAAATTTCTGTTTAGTTTGGTATACTTAAATATACCAAATTTGATTTTGTGGGCATAGAAAAATAATTTTGTTAAAATGATTAGTTTTGTTATAAAATTTAAATGATGCATTGACGATTAGAAATATAGTTAGCAAATAAAGTTAAAATTAACTTTCTATTGCCAATTACTCAACTTTTACATAAGGATACTTTGACTTGGAAAAGTTTGAGTTATGAAAGTTCAACAGTGTTTAATTTTCATACACCAACATGTACTAAGTTCTCTTCTTGTGCTTCGTTTCAGGCATGTGGCAGCCATGAGGCGGCAGCGTTCCACTCACTGCCAGCTGTTATTATGCCCGGCCACTTGTTGCAGGCATTCATGATGCAACTGCGCCAGCAGCCAGCGGCACAACGAACTCGATTCAAGTCTTTGCCGGGTCTCAACCAAAAACACTCATACGCCATGTGGGCGCGAGGCGATCGGAGGATGTTGCATGAACAGCAGCCGACAACAACAACCGCAACGGGCGCCACACTGGCCCACGGCCAAGGCTAAGGCCAGTGTTATAGCCACAGTCACAGTCACAGTCACAGTTATAGTTACAGCCACAGCCATAGCCACACACACCAGCAGTACTAAATACAGAAATACACCACCACCAGTCACTACAACAACAACAAGAACAACAACAAGAACAACAACAATCAACTGAAACATCAACAAAAGTTGAAGAATTCCGTTGAACTCGAGGGAAACAAAACATAAACAAAATGTCTGAGGTAAGTAAAAGTTAAACCTACAGACAGAGAAATGTTACAACCAGATTAAAGATTAAATTATTGAATAAATCAAGTAAGAATCTCTACTTAAAATATTAATTACATTAATACAATTTTAATCTTTAATTTACAAAAGGGTTTTGAATTATTTAGATATAGAAACACACTCACAAATACATTAGTTCCATGAAATATTTATACAATAATATAGTAAATAACAAATTATTTTATATCAAATGTTTTTTTTAAAACAGTACATTTTATCTATCTCACTTTTCAATTAATTCCTCATAGTTATTTCAGTGTGGCATTAATGATAATTAAAAGAGCAGGAGATGTGGCTTTTTGGCGCTGCCTTTTTGAAGGCACAGGGGTCAGCATTTCCATTTTTATTGAATTAAAATCGATTTTCAGTTTATTTTATCAAAAGACTTAAGAGCATCAAACACATTAAAAGCAAAAAACCGCACACACTCTCACAAAGACAACAAGCTGTCTGTGCGAAGGGGAAGTGTGGGTGCGTTGGGGGGTGGGTGTGTGTGTGTGTGTTTGTGTGTATTTCCAGGGAATGAAATAAGAAGATGAAGCTTGCACATACAAAGTCTGCAACGATAAACTTATATAAAAGTGGGTGATTGACAAGGGGAATAACCTGCAATAAATGCTAGATAAAAATCGAATGGCCAACTTTTATCAAAGAGATAAGAGTCACAAACACTTTCAAAGCCAATTTAAACATGACTTGGCAAAACACGAGAACTTTTATATAATTCAAGTGCATAACTTCTTGAAATACTTCTTAATAGTTTTAAAATTTAAAAAAAAAAAATTGAAAATACCTACAACCATTATATTATAATAAAAACTTTAAATGATATCATCTTTAGAATGACTTTGAGAATCACCTCTTGACCTTTAGAGAATATTCTGGATTCAAGATTATTTTAGAGCTGCGTTCCTTGGGTTTCGCATTTCTTTCGCCGCCCTTTTCACCACTTCCTGCTGGCATTTCCCGCATAGGCATTTGAATTTTGGGTCACTGACGTCGTCATCGTCATCGTCTTCGTCGCCGTTGCCGTTGCCTCATGTTTATGTATGCGTGGCTACATGGCGGCTATATGGCTATATAACTATATAGAACACATACCTATAGGAAGTGGGAGCATCGTGAGCAACAGGCGGCAATAACGACTCAGCCAAGCAGCTGTCGCCATAAACAAGCACACGGACCCGCCACTCGCACACAGACATAAATATTGACCTAATTTGCACCTGTTTACAAATTCATTCGAGCCATTGCTGAACCTCAGGAGCTGAGCCACCCAGCCATCCAGTCATCCAGCCATCCAGCCACCCATTACCATACCACGCAACCCCACCCAACCACCTACTCCATCCTGCCACTTTTGCGTCTCGGCAGGACTTTGTGCTTTTGGCACATGATTTATGCGGCAAAAGGAGCGCGACAACCTCGACAGCGGCTCCATCGCGAGCGCTCCTAAGTGGGTCGACCATGTCCACATATCCACAACTACATCCACATCCATATATCCACATCCTCATCCAACCGAAGCCAAGCCAAGCCAAGCCCAGCCAAGTCGAGTCGAGTCGAGTTGAACCCAACATGCCAAGCTGAATGAACGTGCTTTTGCACAGAGAGAAAAATAAATGTATTTTAACAAAACCAAAAATTCCTTTTTTTAAATCTTAAATTTTTAAGATAAAATCGTCTGTTTTACTTTATATTTGAAAATAGTTACGTTTGTCACGAACGGAAATCCCACACCCTTTTTGTTTGTATTATTTTACTATTTGCATTAAAAATTTGGATTTCTTTCTGTGTTTGGCTTCTCGGTCAGATTGTTGGTTGGCATGTTATTAGGGAGCAAATTTGCATTTCCAACCCGTTTCTTTTTGGATGAAAAGTTTGCTACTGGAGCTACAAATTTGCAAATGCAAAATTCGATTTTATTCTGCGCTGGCTTACGCGGCGTATGCTTGATCTGTAAAGGATGACAGGATAAAAGCCCGAAATAAAAACGGCAGTAATAGGTTAAGCTAAGCGAAAGCTTATCTAGCTTTAGCGAAGATATCTAAAGAATTATGGATAACAAAAACAAAGATGAGGAATGCAAAGGAATTAGCACAATAAACTTAAAAAAACGTAAAGAAAAAAATAAAATGAAAAATATTCTGAAGACTGCAAAATCATTTTCTTATTAAATGACTGAGATAAATGGAACACAAATTTACAAAGCAGAAAAAGCTGTCAAAAATACTTTCCAATTAACTTAATTTATTTTAGAACAAATAAAATCCAGCTCGAACTAGACAAAAGATAAGACACTCGGTGATAGGACTTGAAAATCGTTTGCAGTCAGACATTTGGTGCTCCATCAGAAGTGAGTTAATCTGGAGAAGTGTCTGAAATTGAGATACTTAGCTGGGTGAATGATTAACATTAATTGCGGGGTGCACCAGTTGCGGATTAGGAGCACTCGAAGCGCGATTCAATCGAGGGCTTAATGAGTGTCTTGGTCATTTGCCTCGTCTTGAACTGACTCGACCGACTTGAATGATAACGATAATGATGATGATGATGATGATAATGATGATGATGGTGATGGTGATGGTGATGGTGATGATGATGGCGACTGGCAATTAGGCCGATTTGACATCAACTTGTCCTCGCCCTGACATTGCCATTGAAATATCCTCATCCACATCCTCGTGCTCCTACTCATGACCATTCCTATTTCAACTCTGGTTATTTTCATCGTCATCATCGCTGCTTGTCTTTGTCAGCTCGAATCTGTTGTTGTACGGGCATTGATTTTCCTTGATTGATGCGTTTTTAATGAAGGCGGATGGCCAGGTGCCTGGAATCATTAGCGCGATTTTCTCCACTCCTCCTCCTGCTCATTTTTTTTTAATGTTACTCAGAATGACAAACAGACAGCTTTGATCCGCAATAAACTAAATGAAAAATAAATAGTCAATAACAATGAGCCAAGTGGTGGATGGGGTGGTTCAAGGAAAACAGAAGGCGAAGAAAGTGTCGCAATGTCGTGGCCTGAAATTGACACAGCACTAAAGTTACAACGAGCAAACAAAAGTGGCCAACAAGCAGCTTCGGGCCAGGTAGGCCAAAATGGGAAAATGGGAAAATGGGAAAAGGGGAAAACTGGACGGCAGAAAAACAGGTCAACGGGAGAGCTGGACAACTGGCAAACATACAGACATACACAAAACACAAGCGGAGACCGAAGGATAAAGAGACAAAGAACAGGCGCCGGCCAGTATGCCATACAAAATATTGTAATCACAAACTATGCAAAAATTATGCCTAAGCTGAGCAACATGTTACCAACAAAACTGACACGTCTCTCCAGTTTGTCATGTTCTACATGCACAGCGAGAAAAATTAAACATATATAATATTAAAGAAAGACTAAAAACACTTATGCATTAATGAATTAAATAAATTTATTTAATTTGAATAATTATTTAATATAACCTTTTTAAAAATGTATACAATTTTTGGGGCCTTTAATTCATTAAAATGAATTCATTAAAATGAATCCATTTATATTTCTCCCCATTAAATAAAAGTAAATTAAGTACCTTTTTTATTTTGTAAACCTTTTTTAGAGAAAATAAACTATTGTTACATGAATTTTAAACTTATGGGTCTTTCGAAAGTATCAAAAAAAACTTTTGTGGCTTAAAAATAAGCCCGTCTTAGACTCTTCGGTATGGGGGTTATATTTTTAAGTATTTCAATTTAATACTCTAAAAGTTAAAAAGTGTGTCATTAAAAGTGTCTTCATAAGCAAATACAGCTTTAATTAGTGTTTTCTACAAAACTAAAACGAGGAACAAGCAGGCCAATTAAGTAGCATTAGCCGACTCTTAGCCATAATTTCCAATTAAATCAATGGCAATTATGTCCCGCCAAAGACCGCAAGTCGTCACTGGGCTCAAGTTCTTATGTTCTCGTTGTGAATTCATGACTTTGACGTTGTCATGGAGGCCGCAATCGGGGGTCAAGGCGGGGCCAAGGTCATTAAGGTGGTGCACCGCAAGCCCCCCTCATCCCAGTCACACCTCAAACCTATAATCTGTAATCGCCAAACCTTTATTGAGCCGCAGTTTGATTGTGTAGTCAGACGAAAGGTCCGCAGGGGGACACTTAAACTACATCTCAGATTAGGAGTCAGAGTTAATGGTTTCCGGTAAATACTTATCTAAAATTCTTTACTATTTTCGATTGATTTGATATGCTTAAGCTATTTATGATTTATTTTTGTGTTTAAATATAAATATTTAGCTATTTAATGAGACAAACATTCTTATCTTTAGCTAACATTAAAGGTATATTAACTGGCCATTAATTTTTGTACTTTTATGTATGTTATTTTTCGATAACTATACATTATGGATCCTTATTTCCCCATGTACAAATATTAAAATACTTCTATTCAAGGGATGATGTCTGGGGTGAAGAATTCTTAACACCTTTCCTGTAAAGTAACATCCAGCCAAGGGCCCAGCCAACAGCTGTTTTCCCCCAGCTCCAAACACTGGCTTGTCCCTATTCCTTCGACCTGCCATTCCATGCGATCTTTCCGCATCATTATGAAGAAGCTCCCGACGCCTTTGCACTCACAGCAGCAGCTGTCGAAATTAACATAAAACATTTATGGCAATGTCGCTGAGTCGCGGCCAGGACTAAGCCGTTTGTATCCTGATTTGCATGCATTTGCATATGAGGGATGCTGGATGGAATGGGTTGTCGAGTTGAGGCGCGTTTATCTGCGCGTATGCAGAAAGTTTTCCAATTAAAAGTTTCGCCCAGGTCCAAGTCAGCCGACGTTTCTCCGCAACCTGGTCTATGGTTTCCTTCCCTCGTCCTTTTGCGACAATTAAGCCCCATAATGAGCTATAAACTTCCAGCGATGAGTGCGGAAAAGTGCATGAGTGAGGTTAAGCCATGTTTA